AGTAAGAATGTTGCCCAGCTGCTTTTACTATATTCCAGCAATCACTGCAAGGAACACCAAATGACACACATACCAATGCGAGGAATGAACCACAAGCCTTGATTGTGACAGGCAAAATCTTAACACAAGACTAACCTACTGCCACACAATGTTAACAGTTAATTATAACTGCAATAGCAATAATTTCAGTGTTTAAATGTGAGTGTCCTCACTTCATCTTTCATTCAAGTGGACTGAAAGTAAATCGCTCAAAATGTAATAGAACTGTTTGCTGTTTGCTTAAAGATAAAAGATACCAATAACAAAGAAATGAGCTCTACATTTTATTATCAAATAAAGGACAAAATACAATTTGTAGAAAACCTATGTCTAACTCGTGACTAATACCAGATAGGACATGACCATAGACTTACTGCAATACACAGTACACAAGACTATATTTGATAATACATAACCATGCCTAAACCCATCAACTCCAAACATGAATATGTATCTTCAAACAATGAATCTCATTGTAGGAACTGCCATTTTAGGAGGGATAGGACATTACAGAGACAATATAGCACAGGGAAGGACAGACAGGAGTTACAGCAAGGGGAGGCCATCCATACTGCCTCAATAAATACATTGTAACAGTCCAAACTGAACAAACTATAACATATTCTGAAACATTTTTCAAAGTCATTTTCTTGGTATGCCATAGATTTCAATGCAAGTATTACCTTGAGAAGTATGTGTAAAGATTTCATAGTTTCACACACACAAAGTTAACCATGCCTATAAACCGCCACTGGCATTTTCAAACATTAAAAAAAATTCTCTTTTGAAACTAAGTTTGGTTCAGCTTTAACATGAATAGAAAAAAAAGTATTCTATGATATTTCAACAGATGGTTTATGATCTGTATGAAAGACACAAAGTTGGCCACAGATGACTAGTGCCAATTTGACATTACTGTCCACTTTAACCATACACAATGACAAGTCCCATGCGCCACACAAACAGATCAAGGCACAAATACTTGTGTAACTTCACAAACATTTCCCTATGCACCAAGCAAATCCTGGATGTATTACAACTTCAAGGATCATGCATTAATTAAGAAAGTTAATGATTCATATTTCAATTACTTTAATTAGCCTTAATTATATGAACAGATTGTTTATCTTGTGTCCATCAAAATACCTGAATAAGAAAAGACCAAAAGTATCCATGTTACCTTGAATAACTGAATACAGAGTATAATAACCACAACAATCACTTTATTGTTGCAGAATCTTTTAACAATGTTCATACACTGTAAGCCAGAAAATAATTCCATGATTTTACCAGTTTCCATATTACATCAATGAACATCACAACAAAAAGACCCCCAAACTTCCAGAGGATCTAACTGAAAAAATACATGGAACAGACAATGTTGATATTTTTCTTCTGTCACAGTTATATTACCACAAAAGAGTACTTTCTATGACCTTACACCAATTTCAAACTTTCTTAAACTATTCCAGGCATGGGAAACGCCTACAAAATCTTAAGACCCTTACAAACCTTGCTATATTTAGATTCTAACAAATATTTAAAAAATAAGATATGTTTGCACAGAACCCTGTCAAATTACAAATCATATTTGGTGCCTTGACCAAATCAGTCTACTGCAAAAACATGGCTGTATTTTGAAATTGTATACCAATGTTGTTCAAGTTAATGTTGCAGTGAAATACTGACCCTGTCTGAATATAAAACCCCCCTTTGAACATGCACAATTCAAACTATACCATATCCTTGAAAGACACTAACTGGAAATCAGAAATTTCTTAATTCTGGCTATGCACACAGAGTTGTGTCTGACAAATCACACAAATTTGACTTAAAACTTTGGCAGTGAAAATGCAGTTGAGACAATCCAGTATGCCTTTAGATAAATTTGGCAGCAACACAGTAATATGTGTAACTTGAATGACAATGTCATAAACTTCATTGAATAGTTGGGGTGTATATTGTTTAAGTGTATGAATTAATTAAGTAGGTTTGGCAAGATATGTTAAAGGCAACATAACATAAATGCTGGTTCATAAACACTGAGCAAATGAAAAAGTAGAAAATGTTAATTAAGTCTTCAGTTCCTACACTTGCAGAATCAGAAACCTGACCTAAATATGCCACAAATGCAACCCATGATGTTATGATGACATGCTAACAAAAAAGTTAAGGGCAACCCAATAATTTCATATGATTATAGATAATCTGTCATGCCATGACATTTAGCCATAGTGATATGAAAGAATCACAAGATCTTTTTACTTGTTTTAAGGTATACTTTTTCGTAACATGCTACTTCAAAGTCACTGTGAAAAACGCCAACAAAGAAGGCTAACATCTTATCAGTATTTATAGGATTGTTGTCTATTTCCATGAACCCACATACCCTGTAAAAATACTGGTCTTCTAGCAAAGGACGTAGCCTTTAATACAGTTTCAACAAGTGAGTGAGTGAATATGGTTTTACGCCGCTTTCAGCAATATTCCAGCAATATCATGGTGGGGGACACCAGAAATGGGCTTCACACTTTGTACCCATGTGGGGAATCGAACCCGGGTCTTCGGGCTGACAAGCAATGCTTTAACTACTAGGCTACCCCACCGCCCCTTCCAACATGTGTGAAACTGCAAGTATGTAAATGAACTTTTAGAGGTGTCATGAACACAAACAGAGGTCAAACTTCCCGTAATATTTATTATAGCATGCCCTTCCTCAACAGTCCCAAATGTAGCTTACAAACACCACATCTAGTCCACACTGGATATAACAAAGTGAAGTATTGCGAATATGTAGCGATAACGAAACCTCAAATTGACGAGTTATGTTATGTGACTGACTGACTGAGTTTAGTTTTACGCCGCTTTTAGCAATATTCCAGCAATATCACGGCGGGGGACACCAGAAATGGGCTTAACACATTGTGCCCATGTGGTGTTCATGTGACAGTCACTTGGGTCATAATGACATGCATGGCTTTTATTGAAATTTAATACCCTATGGACCCTATCACGTCATTTGAAAGAATATCTGTAAGATCTTCATGATGACACAATAAAAGAACAAAGACTTTTTGACTTTTGAATGTGCCATTCTGGCAGAAAAGTGAGTGAGACAAATGAAATTTAATGTAAACTATTAACATTTCTTCAATATTTCTGATAAAAAAAACATTGTGAAAATATTTTGGGCCAAATTGGAGACTGCATTATTATATCAGTATCTGGTGAGGAAATTAACACTGCTATAATATAGGAATAGAAGACAGGACATGAGATTGAGAAACGGCACGTCACCAATCAATTATCACTCCACAGCCTCTGATGCTCACAAAAAATATTATGTCCTATGCACTTAAACACTTTGGTAATATATATATAGATATATACAAAATATGTACAGATGTTCAAAATAGAAGCAAAGCCTCAAAACAAGACTTGAGATTGCAACATAATATAGCAAGTTGTTCATAAAGGCAACATTTTTCGGTATTTTTTTAAAAAGTTTTGTACTAAAACTTTTATATTTAATGAAAATACACAGAATGCTGGACAAAACACATTGTTGTGATGATAAATTGATAAACAGCTTTTGTAGCTTATAGCAATAAATTGTCATTGTTTTATCATGCTCATGATAGCATTTTGTTATGCATATAATCAACAGAAAAATAAATCAGCACTTTTGTATGCAAACAGGACACTAGTAACCATGGTAACATACAAGAAAAATCTTCAATGAGTTAAAAAGACAAACTTATATGAACAATTTTGTGACATGGAAGACGGATAATCATGATAACTTCAAATAGAATAATCATTATTGCCAATTAAATATTCTTAACATAAACACTAAATAAACATCATATTTGGGTTTTGCAGCAAACAATGAAAGGAAAATCTACCTGGCCACAGATACTTGTCCGACACTAGTTTCAAAACTGGAATTTATGAACAATATCAGTCTGAACTTCAAATTTCAACCATAAACTGCATGCATGAATTCTGGAAAATTTCAAACATTCTTGAACATTACTGTGCTAAAATAAAAGTGTTTTTTTAAATACTGTAACATTGTCAAACATTGTTTAATATTAATGAAGTTTGAGAGGTTATCTGTACATCTAACACAATTGGTTCATGGAAAATCACACAACTGGTACAGATTGTCATCTTATAGCTGTTGTTTTGGATTTGAAAGTACTTAACAGCCTTCATTTTGTTGTTGCAAAAAGCCAGAGAATCCAATAGCCTTACAAGAGTGAGTGAGTCGAATTTTACACTGCTTTTAACAATATTCCAGCAATATCACGGCTCCTTACAAGATATTTTCCAGACCTTCACTACTGTTCAATGGAAGACTATTCATGATGACTTTCAGATACAAGAACTACTAGCCTTGAAAATGCAAAGACATAGTTCATAACGGTTCTATGGACTTCAAAGGCAAATTAACAATCACTACCAATAGTCATAATCTTCTAATAAATAATAAACAAAAATATATTTTGATTTTAAAATTGAATGCAGTGGTATTAAGACAGGTCCATATGTATGAAATATATTGGCACTTTGACTCAAGAAATGTACAACAGCACAATATAATCTAGAATAGATTTACCAATATGAACTTAATAGACCATTTGAATTCATTACATGATGTTCATGCAAGGGAGTTAACTCCTCTAAAACACTCGCTCACTACATTACACAATATTGCTCTCTGTAAGTACTATCTGTTTTATTATAATTCTTCCAAATACAGTATTATAAAAAGATTTCACATGCACCATGTGCATGCTACGATATCAATAGGATCATATCTAGCAATCTAACAAAATATCAAATTATTTCTGGTTTAACCAGAGATAATGTAACCTTTCAGGTTTTGTGTTTCCACTCAATCCAACAGACCAACACACAACCAATTAGTCATTCCAAAACAATGCCTTCTGTATCTACAGTATGGCCTAAAGCCTCCCATTGAAATTTGGTTAAGGTCTTCATTTCAACATATGTTTGATCTATAACAGACAGAGGGAGATACAATATTCCATATCACCATTATTCTCCACAGCAGACTAAGTATGAATATAGCACAATATTCCATATCACCATTATCATCCACAGCAGATGGAGGTTGATACAGCACAATATTGTTTGTTTAGTCAACATTATGAAAGAACACATAACACTGTTTGACTTGCACAACAGACAGTCTTTTCCTACAAAAAAAAATGAAGAAAAGCACTTCAATCACTGAATCCTATACTGACAAAGTTCAGTTACAACAAGAAATACCCTTTGACATATAGTTTCTAGAATAATGGTTCACCTCCAGTTTGTCCTCATGGAAGGAAAATGTCCACCAGCACTGACCATCAACAGAAGATACGGGGATCCTACAAATGAATTTCTTGCAATTTGATTGCTCTTATGAGGATGAAGGGTTTCATTTGGCTGAAAAATATCTGTCAGTGTTTTGGCTGAGTCAACTTCAGCCTTGATGCAAATGCTCGCTTCTTTGTTGTAGTCAAGCGGGCAAAAACCAGGATGGAATGCATATGCTCTACAAATGCAATGAGACGTAAACAATGATGCCAAGGTCACAGTTCTGACCAATCATCAAGTGAGTCCAGCCACATCATGACACTGATGATATCGGGGCATGTGGGGACCCCATTTGAGTTAGGACCTTGTCCAACCATTGTAGGGGACCATTTAAGTGAATTTCGATCCAACATGGGGTGCTGGTGACATCCTGACGATGATACTCAGCACCCCAACCCTTCACGAAGCTCATCCTGATGGTGCACATCTTGGTGAGCTCGTACACGGCCTCAAATCCGTGGTTGACAGATTGACTAAGTAGAGCAGCAAACTCCTGGTTATTGAAGATCTTCAAACTACAGCCAGGTGGGATCTTGCAGACAGTTGTTGGGTGGAAGCCATGGTGATAATTGCAGTTCCTGCTCTGAACAAATATGCTGCTATCGCTCAGACATTCCGCAAACACCTCACCACCAACATAGTACAGGTGCACACCTGAAATGTATGAAATAACTGAGTGAGCATAAGTTTCCAAAATCTATTGGTCATAGTAGTCTTATAGCAATATCAAGCAAGGGTGCAGGCCATAAATGTCTACAAGCTTGACCTTGTATTTTTTTAATTATTATTAGGATATCTATATAGCGCACATATCCAGGCAACTGGTGCATGCTCAAGGTGCTGGTATTGTAGACATTTTGGCATTGTAGACATAATATTTTTAGTCCTAGTAGATGGATTAGTATTAACTGACTTTAATAAACCAGAAGGAAGTTTCAATAGACTTAGGATAGTGACTAAATTTGCAGATATCACACATACACTATGTGGCAAATTGAGCAGGCTGACACAAGTAGGGTATCCATCATCAGCGCTACCTAAATGTACTAATAAAACAATTGTTACCGGATTTTTAGAGTGCGAGACATTATTTACTGTACTTCAGTCACCAAAAATAATAGCTCAGGACTAACTTATTAGAACAGGATGATCATTAATATCCACATCTGCATATAAACACTGACATTAAATTAAAAACACTGGTCAAATTTGATCCATTTGGGTCACTATTTTGTATTAACCACAAGAAAATGAGTAGGGATTAATGATAAAAATAATATTGTAGGTATGTGTGATCATTATTATTCACAGCAAGACACTTTCTGGGTGTGGAGATAACTTTAATATTTATAAATGATTATTTTCTATTTTGATATGTTTGATACTTTAAAAGACTTGATGACTTAGCACGAGACATGCCAACAAAACACACATTATGATGCATCACATTTCACCTTTGCCAATGTGTCTACGAGTGTTCTCAATAGTTGAGTTTCTGTTGACGTTGGAGAGGAGTCCCAGACAGAATCTGTCGGCATTGTTGGAGGGGTCTGTGAAGCCATCCACGACAATGCTAGAGCGTGAGGCGTGGAATGCTTCTCCCACTCGGTTGTTCAGTTCGTAATACACGATGGAACACCAGTACTGTGGCTCTTGGTAGGTCACTGGCTGCAGATCTGTCATGGGGACAAGTTACTTCATGTAATAACTCATTGTCAACACAATCTTAAAAACTGAACAAATACACATTTAGTTTCCACATTGATCAATAGTTACATTCCATCCATAAATCTAACAGTAATGAAATAAAGTCTAAAATATAGATGCTAGTTATATCTTATCCTTAAATCCAACAATAATTAACAGAAGTGTACAACAGATTGGGTGCATATGTAACATTTCACAACTTTTCATTACATTTAAGTATCATGAAGACAATATCAAGAACTATTGGTTTTCTTTTTGAAACAGAACTATTTCCTTACTCTTTTGTCAACAACTTGCATTATCATACATATGCACATACTGGATATATACACTTTCCAACACAAGATACTTTACACATTCATAAAGTGAAAATTCAACAGCAAATATTATCGGGCTGCCAGAGCAAAAAACGAGCAAATAATTTTTTTCAAAGTGGTTCAACATAATAACAATGGGCCCAGTGTTTGACCCTATTGAATGTGTGAAGCACATACATTATCTTCATCATAGCATTTTAGAAAACAATTCTCCTGAAGATTTTCTTCACAAAGGATCCTATGATGTTTCTCATTGATATTAGTTGATGTAAAATGTTCTCTCTGAAATGAAATGTTTTCCTTATTTCTGCATGTCTTGCTTAAAGTAGTGTTAAACGTTTGAAGCAGTGCCAGTTTCCGCACAATGGTTTTCTTGTGTAAGACCACTCACCTATGCCATGATCATTTCTTATCAATGGTGGTTGGTTGGAGGGTCGAGCACATGGGCGTGGCTGTAGGTGAAGGTGGGAGTGATCTGAAAACGAGTGGCAGTGTTCATGAATTAGGTCAAATGTCAAGCTGCCCTCATCAAACTCTGATAAGCAACAAAATATGACGAGAGCAAACATGTTTGTAGCTCACCTGACCACTGATACCCATTAACATATCTTGTCAGTTATGTCCCATTACATGTTTCTAGATTTAAACTACAAATAATAACATAACATTATGAAAAAAACATTTGATGATAATCTTGGTATAATAGATGGCGATTTTTTAAAAACATTTTCCATACATATTTAAACCTCTATCGCTAAAGGCAGACCAAAATTTAACATTAACTAAATCTTGCTTCGAGAAATGCCTGTAAATGTTACTTTCAACGGTGTGATGGCTTATCTTACTTATGATGTACTGCAATTGCCCTACAACAGTACTGTAATGTTAGGTATTCTAAAACAGTAAATAATCAACAGGCGCCATGTGTTATAAATAAATATATTATTCGTCAGGAATGTTTTTACATTTTGATTTCAAACTTGTCACGTATTACTGTGTATATAAGCTATGACACCTTCATATTAGAGTTACATCCCTTTGTTATGAATTGTGACAGGGAAGAGAATGGTGAAAGTCAGCAGTACTTTATTCATTTCTTTTACATTGACTAGCATAAATATCAAATCTTAAAGCTAATTTTATACTGTCACAATACTATTGCAACAGTAAGTGAAGAGCCCAAAGTCAACACAAATGAGATGCTAGAACAAATTTTACAAACTACCTCATTCATTTTTTTTTTAAAAGAGGGAAGTAAACAAACTAAGAAGTATCATGGCATGTTCTGAAGTGTAAAAATTAATAAATTGATCATTTTCCTTTTAAGATGTATGTGGCTATTAAATATTGATTTCAATACAAAATATACTGCCACACAATCAGTATTAAAACAAAATACAGAAAAAGGAAGTTTCATCACAGTAATATGCCACAAATAGATATTTGTTTTAAATTTACTAATAGGTCAGGTGAGCTACCAATGAAATAACGACAAAGTGTTTGTGACAGAAGACTGCCATGATCTATACTAAATGCTACATCCTGATAATAGTCTGTCCCCAAACCTCCAGAGAATGCTAGTCCGAATTTGGTAATAATTTTCAGTATATTTCCACATTGTTATAAGAACTTTTACCAGCCCAGCTTACAGAATCAAACAAATTATACAAGACTCAGCATCAGGCAAGTGGCTGAAGGCGCTGATTGCAATATGGATTTCAATTTCAGGGATAGAAGGTGGATTTTCAACTTCATTCATGATTCAGCTAATATACCTACAAATTCAGCTGGAGAATGTCCATGAAAAGAGACAAGGATTTGTACCATAAACAAAGTATGGTCAGTAGATTACAACTTCAGCATTTGATACACTTTCATTTAGATTGTTTCATGTCAAGGTTTACAGTACAAAGAAATCATGTTATCTCTCATTTCCTTCATGTTTAAATGAATGTCAAAATAGAAACACTCTGCCATAGAAAACAAAAGTGGAACAGACTTGTTGCTGTGTAAAATGTATATTGGGTAGTCATGATAAACATGTAAAATTCAATGCAACAAAAAGCAGCAGAATCAAACTGTTTCCAATTTATCATTAAAGCTATTAATCATGCAAGAGAAAAACAGTCACAATCTACAAATCTCTGGAAGTTCTCACAAAACTGTACACGCAACTACTGAAAATAATCAACACCATTTTTCAAGTATACTTGTGTTTATGTTCTATGTACACATCCAAATGTCAAGCACAGCAAATGTAACATGTCTTGTAAACGAACAGGGACACAAAAGGTCACGCTAAGTAAACTGCAATATCAAATTTGCTTTTGGATTCCTAACAAAAAATGATGAAAAGCACAAAGTCAGGGGATAGCAAAGAGCAAAATTACTTCACTATGTGAAGATTTGGAATCATTGTGGGAATGGAAAGTAACTAAATTTGAGGTTTTACATTTTGCAAGATTTATACAAATTACGGACAATGATAATGTATAATGTATATATTGTATCTGAAGTTGAAAACAAAAAACACAAAACATAAATTAAGTGTTCTTAGTGAGAATCTCTCAACAGACAGTAGCCTTTACTAGTACTGATATGTTAACCGATACACTTCCATTTTTGTAAATCAAGATCCTATTTATTTGAATCCAGATTCTCACACCTAGTTTTATTAATCACACTATATTGCTTGATATGAACCTGTAAAGTGTTTTCTTTTTCAACTTCCAGTATTTTTCTCCCATGTAATTCTTTGAAGAAGTGTTTGAGAAGCATGTTTACATTCACTGCACAAATCAAATACATTCATCTCCCTGAATATTGGAGGGGAATAAAAAATTTTGAAGTGCTGAAAAATGTTTTCATAATAGCTATACAAACCTAATATCTACCCCCAAAACATTTTTAGGAACAGAATAAAGGGTGCAAGTAACGTATTTCTAGAAAATACAATGAATGCATCTTTAATTACTTTTTCTAAGACAGGTGCATCCGCCCTGAAAAACTCTTAATCCCCATTTCTAAGTGCACTGTAAGAACAAAAACACAGGCACATGTGATTATGTCACCTAGCGATGAAGATCATATATCAACAATTTTAAGGATGTTTAAACTTTGGAGAATATCTATCCCACTTGAGCATTTCCGATGTTTCTCAGTACACACAGTGAACGTGTGAGTGTGATTTTGTCACTAGGCAATGCAGATGAATGCACTCTGCCTCCTGATCTTACACTTGGGTGATTCAGGCCAGGCTGTGTGAAATGGCCTCGTCACTTTGTGAGTAGCAGTGTTTATTTACAGATGGTTGGGGAAGATTAAACACACCGATACCTTGCACATTTCTAACGCCTCTCTAGAACTCTCTGTTCATCTATGATGCACACACTTAAGAATCAGTGTACAAAGCAGATGTAATTCATTCCTCTCAAATTCTTATCAAAATATAATGTAGACATATTTGTTTTTCGACTTAAAAATATCAGACATTCAATGGTCTTATTATTTGTAGTCATATGGAAAGTATTATCATAATTCAGCCTGAAAAACATACTCCATACAAATATTATTTCAGGAAAGTAATTCTATCTTTGACATCATACACTATGACAGTAGCTGGAAGTTTGCCATAAAATATGGAAACAATCTTTCTTGAAGTTTTCTGAACATTTGGAAGGGATTGGTCTTTGCTGAGAGGATAAAGAATGATCCAATGTTATTTCCATACCTCATCATTTCAACAACAACAATTCCCAATTGTCTCATAAATTAACTATAACTGACAAACTTGAGACTTCAAATAACTCATTACCATGGAAACTAGCATTTCTTTTTTCCAAACTGGAAAGTTTCACAAGTCTGCACTAAAAATTGTGAAACTTTGTTTGCCATGTCAAGAGAGAATGAATGTTGGGCAAGTTACATGACTTAAACCCACCAAGTGTGTAAAAATATTAGTCACATCACAATTCTGACATGCAACGAAAGTTTCCACGACAAAATATTATGAACTGTACACCCAGGCTTTTTGCATGTGCTCATGCTCGTGCTCATGCTCGTGCTCATACTCCAAAAACCTCACTCCCATAAGGCATAGCAGAACAAGTCAAGTGTGATGACATTGCTACAGCAGTATTGCAACCATACTATGACACTTCAACAACAACTCATGTAGAGAACCAAACTTGACAAGAAGGCAATAACATCAGGCTACCCTGTAGCCATGCAAAACAATAGAGTGAGTAAGTGAATGACGCTTTCCAGAACAGAGGAGAGGTGAAATGGACTTCTTGTTCAAGAATATTGCATGCTTGTACTAGTCCAGACTTATGCCGTTTTTATTGCTCTTGACCACTGAGATATCCTACCATCAGACAAAGTCTACTGACTGAAGCTGACAAGTCACTGTTTTATCTCTTCATTTTGAGCTCCAGGCTGGAAATTAATGAGTAACACCCTTGACATCTTTTGGCATAACACAGCATGGGATCAAACCATCGAACTTCGGCTGTGTCGACTACACCACAGAAGTCTTTTTGAGAGTGAATGAATGTTGTCTTTTTGATACCGTCAGCAATGTTACCACTATATCAGAGCAGTTTGAACCTGACACGGGACTACACAAACCAGTGTGTGATAACCAGAGAGAACCTGCCTCAAGTAACAGTCTTAGAAAGTGTAAATCAACCATTGTTATCAAGCACTCACTACTGCAAACTGTGATCTGCAGTTCAATGTGGCAATGACAAATATGGGAATTGGGCAATATCAAACTGGTTGAACACTGGGAAAAATACATGTCAATATTTATGCTGTTAGTTTAAGATTCAATTATTGTGTTACTTCTTTGAGTGGCATTTTAGAAGTTGGGAAGTACAATACTGCCAAATTTATGGATAACAACTTTTAATTATTTTGTGAGTGCAATGTTTTGATACAGAGTCTTGTAACATTGTCAAGATGGAATGACTAGCTTGACAATGGTACAAGAATCTATACACACTCAAAATGACACACTCACAAAATAAAAAAAGTAGTTATTCCATAAACTTGTCAGTATGTATGATAATGGTGTAGTTGAGCACCAAATTAAGTTAAAATCTGTGGCATGATTAATGTACTATTCATTAAATTCTGTGAATTTACATGATACTTAGTTTGAGGCAGCTTTTTTCTTGGATTAACCAAAAAAACACAAGAGGAAGAGAAGTTTAGTGTCGGTCTGTTTCAGTTGGGTATTTAGAGACATGATAGAGTTGTCAATGGTGACCATCTCCCCAACAGCCTTTGACACCACTTGATAGCTGGCTACATAAACTTGATAAGGTAGCAAATTCAAGGGACTCCTTTCAGGTTTTGTTGCCATTTAATGAAGTACAAATGATATTAACATGCCATATTAATGTGGCAACACTTAAGTGTTCAAAAGGCAGGTAGTTATCCTCAGTCATTTAATCTTTTTTAATGTTTGCTTGTTTAGACTGACTGAGTTTGGTTTTACGCTGCTTTTAGCAATATTCCAGCAATATCGCGGCGGGGGACACCAGAAATGGGCTTCACTCATTGTACCCATGTAGGGATTCGAACCCGGGTCTTCGGCCTGACGAGCCAACGCTTGTAACCACTAGACTACCCCACCGGCCCTTGCTTGTTTAGAAGGCATATATGCAAGACTCACACTACAATCCTTGAATGACAATAGTGTTGAAAGTTACTTCACAGCAGCCAACACCAGGAATGATCTCAACATTTTATACCCATCCTGGGAATGAAACCACTGGTTGAATGCAAGAAAGACATTCAGAAAATTCTGACATGTCAAAAGCCAGTTCATCCATGAAAACCTGTTTCAACTTTAACTCTTTGTATTTGATTCATGACTGGAGCTGCAGTACAATTATTCTCCCGTGGAGATCATATTGACCACATTACCTGCACACAATCCCTATTTGGGGTGCTGGCCATCATATTACTGTCCACATGTCATTGCTTTGTGTACTCACCTGATGGGTTTCCCATGCTGGTGTCCATGGGTTGATGTCCAGAAGATGGGTTGTTGCCTTGGTTCAGCGCCATGTTGTTCTGGTTGCTATCATCAGAGGGCTGGTAGGCAGGTGGGGGCGTGTCAGCTGTAACAAGAAGAAAACGTCATCAATATCCCCCGAAATGGCAAAATACTCTTCATGAATATGTCAACTAGTTATGACAATGATAAATATTTTGGCGTGTATATAGCAAAGTGGATGGAGAGTATTGAAAGGTTTTAAAGCTCCAGAAAGGAGCACTACCACAAATTCAGTTGAAGTCCAACTTGTTGCCATGGAAATGCAAAAAAATATTTTTTTCAGAAATCCAAAACTATTAAAAACAAATGTTTGCCACTGATATGGCAATGTCCCCTGCCGCTAAAAAATGGAATACCTATATTTACTACTTGTCATTTTTTGGTCACATACAAGATACCTGAAATGACTGGTGTCTGCATAATCACCCGATGTAGGCTGTCGACATAATTGAAAACATTGTGTGCAATGTTTTATGAGATATCGTGTTTAAATAAGTTTGAAAAGTGGTCAAAGTGTCATGTGACCTTGAAGATAAGGTCAAGGTCACCCATATCGACTGATGTCTGTGTAATCCCCCAATGTAGGCTGTCACCAAATTTGAAGATATTGGGTACAACAGTTCATGAGATGTTGCGTTAACAAGAGTTTGAAAAGTGGTCAAAGTGTCATGTGACCTTGAAGATAAGGTCCAGCACCACTTCAAAATCGGTTTGTATATCTGCCAAGTCTTGTAGAAAGATCTGAATACATAGTCCCCCGTTCCGCGTTGCGGCTGGGGACAAAAACCCAGTTCACCACCAAACCTATCTATGTGCCAAGTTTGGTGAAGAAATAATAAACAGTTTTAATGTTCTGCTCCGGAAAAGAGCACCAACACCTATTTAAGTCAAGGTAACTTGTTGCCATGAAACACAAAAAATATCTTATTCAGAAATCCAAACTACCAAAAGCCACCAGTTCACCACCAGGCCTATCTATGTGCCGAGTTTGGTGAAGAAATATTGAACTGTTTTTAAGTTGTTCTCCGGAAAAGATGAATGTGCACGGATGGACAGAAGGATTTTAATACCCCCCGCAAAATGTGTTGCTGGGGACAACAACAAAAAAACACTTTATCCCAATATGATTTCTTACAAAATTTCAAACTTGACAAAAAAAATCCAAGCTGTCAATGCCTTCCCTAAATATATACTTCCCTTCAAAAGTTTAGACTCACTTAAAACACTCACTATATGGTGTGCGTGTGCGTGTGGTTACAACGAAGATTGATTTCTCCACTAACTTTGGGGAACCAACTGCAAACTTTATGTAGCTTGGTGTCCTCCCATTCTTCAGAGTCATTCTTCAGACACTTGAGAAGAGGGATTAATTACCCTCACCCCACAGCAACAATGGAACAGCTTAATTAGCCTACTCAGTGCTCAGGAGAGTAGAGAGATTTTTAAATCATCCTCGACAGTATTTAAATCACATAGTTGGCATAGTCCCTCTTGTCGATTAATATTAGTATAGCATCCAGTTTCTATAAATAAATCATGAGATGAACATCGAAAACCCTGTCGCCGAAATACCTTAGTTGTGCGTTCGAAGTTAAATAAAGCGAAAACGTGATAATGCAACTCGGAACTTCTTTACTGTTATCTTAGAGAGGTACCACTCCAAACTTATTTGAGCTTTAAAAACTTTGTAATAGAAACATTTGTTTGATAGATTCAAACCATGTCTGCACATAAATATCCTTAAGTCTTCGAGGCAGTGACATGATAAAACAAGCATTGTCACTAAGGTGACATAATCCCCCGCTGCAAATTATCAAAACAAACTTATAAAGTAATGAAAGTGTAAGATGAAGTTAAATGTCAACAAAAACATGACCAGGCAATCTCTCTTGATATCTTGCTCTTTAGTTGTTCAAACACACACATGTTTTCAAGACTGACTTTGACCTTGACATGAATGTCATAGTGTATGAAATATGCACAAATAGTACTAAAGAAATTGCTTATTGAAAAACATTCAAGGGAAGTCTTGAAAGTCTATAAAGAAAATCCAGTGAACCGTTCTTGAAATATCTTGCTGACAATTCAGGTTAACATGCTGAAATCTTCAAAGTGTCGTCGTCACTCTGAAAATTATGTGAAGGTAACCAAAATCGACTGGGCATTGCACCTTCCCTAGATGAAACTTGGTGTCAAATATGAAGAAAATCCAGTGAACGATTCTTGAGGTATCTCGCTGACAATCTTTACATGCAGGTTAATATGCTGAAATCTTCAAAGTGTCTCTGTGACCTTGAAAATTAAGTGAAGGTCACCAAAATTGACTGGGCCCTGCGCGCCTTCCCTAGATAGTCTCCTTGTGATCTTGAAATGAAGGTCAAGGTCACCAAACCTGACTTGGACCTTTCTTATACTGTGATGAACCTAGGTACCAAATATGAAAAAAATCTAGTGAACGGTTCTTAAGATATTCCAATTCATACGTACGGACGGAGCCTAATACTATATCCCCCGCTTCGCGCTTAACGCGCGGCGGGGGATAATTAGGGTAGCAGCTAATGTTTTTGTCATACCATGCGTTACCAAAACCAGTCTTAAACAGCAATGTTTTTATGTTCGTTACCCAATTATTTTTTCCATTATTGTCATAAACTATCATCATATTGTAACACATTTGGGGGAAATCTATGTGCATGCATGTTCAACAATCTTAACCAGTATTTGACAGCCTTAACTTGAGAAAATGTGTGCATCGGGAATCTACCACATTCACCATAAACCATAACACTAGATGTACTTGTCTTAACGCCTAGAAATCTTTTACAGACATATAAATGAACTTTTTCTATTACATCAAAACGTTGTAAGCCCCAGACTTAGTAGTATTGGGCTTATTTTAACATCAAATATTTCAAAAAGCGGCTTAACCCATTCAACACCGCAGGCCGAATAATCGGCCACAACGTTATGAGTCCCCAGACACCGGAGGCCGATTAATCGGCCAGGCAGTAGTCACGTTAAAATGAGACATAATTTTAGGAACCTACCTGACTTATGATTCATATATTAAATCTATCACATTTCACAATGTCTGAAAACACTTATTAAATTTCAATTTATCCTATATTATCAGCAGAATTAAAATTATAAACTATTTTTCGCAATGTTATTGAAAACAACGATTCTCGGACATATGCTTCGGCAGCGGGTCCACAATAACATTGTCAAAGAGCAAAGTAACGATGTTTCGAGGAATTCATTAAATAAATTGAATAAACTAATGAATAAAATCAACAACAACATTCATAAAAGTTGTCAAACGTATATATAAAATTACTATTTCCATCTTTTTGAGCGATCATGTAATGTAAGTCAAGTCACTGACAAGTGACATCTCGGCTCTCGCCGCCTCAATCTTCATGCTCAGACACGTTGTTTAATGCAAAAATATATACATGAAGCATTTTTGTCACAGGTCATAACGTAGCACGATACGTCCAATACGTTCCATAATTTACGTATAGGTAGCGATTTCTTGCTTAATATGTTCAAAATAGCATTATTTTACCCAAAACTTTCGACTAAATCTAAAAGATTTCGTTTACAAGGACGGTATCCATTGCCGTAATATGATTGGCTGTCTTAGGTCATGTGTCTGATTTTGACCAATCACGACCCTTAATAGCAGACTGTAGCCAAAAAGCGTCATTAGAAACCAATTTTTCTTCAATAAAATCGCTTCTTACAACTGTGAAAATACTCTCGGCAAGGGTTCAGTGATGTTGTTGATGTTCAGAGCTTTCGAACGATACCCGACATCAAACGATTTGCCTCCCATGTTATTCATATGAAGCTTCGAAAACGGAGGTATTTTCCGTTGTTATGTCATGTTACCGAGCGGAAAGCCACAGATATCGGGAAATAGGCGACCATACATATTATTTAAGAAATCTTTTTATAATAATTTTCTGATAACGTAACAATGAAAATATAAAAGAAAAAGGCACGGGCATGTTATGACATGGCACAAATGGAAAAAAATCCCCATAGTTTTGCTTCTTTCGTGGTTTATCTGGATGTTATAAATGTAAGCTTGCATTTTCATTCAAAAATAATTTTATTTAAGTTGTAGTTGTATTATTTGAATAATATTATAAAAATAAACTTCATATTTATCAACAGTAGGATTAGATCTTTTAAATGGTGTATGGGATGTAGTAGCAATAACGTTTTACAAGCTTATAATTTCCTTCATAAACATAGGCTTCATCTATGACCTCAGAGTCTCTGGGAACTCGGTGTCATGGCAGTAAATGCCTCTGGTTGACTGGTGTTGAAAGAGTTAAATGAAACATTTACTAAAGCATTTAACTGCTTATAGATACAAATAAAAACCTTCTGAGCTTGTATGGCTGCCTGTTTAGTGTGTCTATTCCATGAGAGGGTTTTGGTGAAGTAAACACCTAAATATTTATAGAACGATGTTATTTCTAAAAGCATAAAATTTACCACCTAATTGTAATTGACATATATGAATAGAAATGAACTTACAGTGTATGAACATTTCATTACATGTTATTCATGACAACATGATGATATCATATGAATAAATTATATACATATATATGTCAGTGTGGTTGTGTTCCCTTTCTCAATTGAAATACTTAACTGGGTTCTTCCATTTCTCTATAAAAAGGTATAAACAGCTTTCTCGATTGCTGTGCATTAGACCATAAATATTGTTTTAAGCTGTCTGAAGAATGGGATGATAACCTGCAGCTGAATTGCAAGAGGATCATGCATCAAATTGCTGAAAAGCATGTGCAAATATCGTGCATGTGAACAGCTGCGTTGTGGTGTAAAGTTTTGAAAGAATTCGCCAATTTTCACTGATTTTCATCATTTACTGAACTCATGACAATAAACGTTCCAACATTACGATTTTGTTTTACAATATATCAATTCATGTGTAAACAGTACCTTTAAACAGTATGGCATATTTGACAAAATTAAGTATAGAACAGCTGCCTGAAGTAAGTGGCTATATTTACACTAGTGAGTCTAAACTTTTGATGAGAAGTATATAAGGGTAAAAATAATTCAGCAAAAACCTTTCTGAACATAGTGAACATATGATGCCACTGAATTGTCTACAACAGAGACATTTTACAGACCCAAACTCCCACAGTGAACTTACTATAACCTCAAACACTCAATCCGCAATGTGGGTCACTATATTATTTGTATTTTTGTATTTGTATTCTAACCTGAATTGAACTATGTTAAATGATTCACTTGCACACACATTTCTCAGCTCACCTGTACACTGTACTAACAATTAATGACACAGTGAGTTTTTATTTAAATTTGCTAAAAATATACATGTAATATTTGTCAATGATGATATTCCGAAAACTGTGGTCAAGCAGAAATAACTTGTTTAAACAATGATAAAAAATTATCTTGCCTTCAGAGATTTCACATTGAATAATTGATGGGGATATTTAATAAAAGACATGGATTGGGAAAACTGAGTTCAAACTGCCAAGATTTACTGAATTAACTCAAGGAATGCAACAACTGTGGTCAGTCATTATGTACAGTGAAAACTACACTGGCAAGAAAGACAAGAATGAGGAAATGAAAACTACTGGTTACATGTTTTGTATCTGTATACCAAAACCAGACGTTTTTGTCCTTTTAGGTTCGAGACAGTGGTCTACTGTATTACCTGGCAATCCAAAAGGACTTCCAGGGCCAGAACTTGGCGGTGACTGTGGCTGCTGTTGGAAGGGGTAGGTAACATTGTGGGGCATCGATGGCTCCGACACGCTGGAAGGGGGCCAGGGCGCCATGGGCAGGAAATTCACTGTAGCGAGGTACCAGAACAGGCGGCAATACTGAAACAGAAGGCACAGAGGTTAGGAGGAAAATGATTTCCGAAAATGCAGCAATAATTGTGATGACAAAGCCTTTCACTCTATTAGCCTCAAAATCAACACTTTTCTGTAGATTTTAGTGCTGTAACACAGATTATTGTTTTGCTGAGCTTACTAGACCATTCAAAATTTTACTAGACTTGGGCTTCAGTCATGCAACTGAAGTTGCAGATTGATGATATATGTAGGGATAAGTCATAGGATCAGTTATAATTTGTCAAACCAGTCTATGACCTTAGCTACCTTCTGCAAATGATGTCTGCATGATATCAATATACCTACTGAAACTGATGTTTAGAGACATGCTCACTCAACAGCTTTTGGTACAGACTTTCAAGCTGTGTTTAACTAGCAGGAAGTTCTGTATTTGATGCATTAATACCTTATTTGATGCTGCTGCAATGATATATTTTATTTCTTTGATTCACTAACTCTTCAATAATGGGAGGTTCAGTCATACATTGCATAAATGCCCTATGTGATACCACTGTTCCATTCAAATTGAAGGGGTAATCGATGGGTACCATAAATGTTCTTATTTTCCCAACAAACACACACATCTTCATTTCATCAGAAATAACATACAAATTTGTACTGTACTATGAATCTTAATCCTGCTGTGACACTATTTGGTAATATAAACTTTTCATTGTATCTCTGGACTCGATTTGTAATCTTCATGCATTATATTGTTTTCAAACTTTTCAAAGATAAGTATCAACTATTAAGTATAAACTTATGGGCAAATCACACATTTCCAGCAACCATGATCAGATTACAGCTATTAATGTCTCATTAAACAAACCTTTGTTGTCAGAAAATGGATACATATATCATAAATGCCATACTTGGAAGGAATATTCATATTTGTTGTTCAATAATCATATCCGGTGTTTTCCCATCGAAATAGTGACTTCCATTCCATTTTTTGAGGGAAATTGAACAATGGCCATAAATTGGGTTTTCTTTCAACACAGCTGCCATGGTGACCAATTAAAATCAGATCTGAACCTCTTAAAACATTCTTGGTGCCATTTATAGTGGGAATGAACATGAGAAGTTTTTGCTTCTTTGGTTCAGTCGTTTCTGAGACAATGATTGTGAAGGATAATGGATAGGTCATGACAGCTTACATGATGTTCAGATTTCAGTCAGATGTATAACTACAAAGGCCCTCCTAACTATCAGTTTAAGCAACTGCAAGCATTTTATATTTATATTTTTCTTGGGAGAGAGAAATGAAGTGGTGAAATAAACAACACTTTCACAAAACACTTACAGACAATAGGGCTATGAGTGCAAACACCTGCAGCAAAATATGTTTGTAGTCAGTGCAGGAATCCATGCACCTGTTAGGTCAAGCATGGTCCCATGTACTAATGCGAACAGTTCATCATTGGTACATAACAGATAGAAAAGAGTGTAGTTTTCAGGTCATTTATACATGCACTACATTTGTTGTGGATCTAAAGATACTTTATCTTTGTTGCCTACTGTGAGCAAAAGTTTAAGTAACAGTGCTCTGTATAATCAGATTCTTAGGGTCAATAAATATGTATGTTCTCCATTAAATCTGTGAAGCTCACATGTTTCTACAAATCTATTTAAATATGACATTCTGCTGATCTCCAAAGCCAATTTGCAACTATTTTTTATTCATTCAAAATTCAATCATGTCCTTTTCTCACACATATGGAAGAAAATTAGGAACAGATAATGCATTTTACCAAGTAAATAACACTCATACAGACTGTAAACATTCTACCCACTGGTTAAGCAAATATTGACATACAGGCCATTCAGTTCCACAATTTCTAATTCCAAATTCATTTGTATGTTTACAATTCTCACATTTGGGTTAACTGAAGCATGCAGACCTTGTAAATAGTCAATAAACCTTCTTCAAAACATGGACCACCCACATAAAGCAGTCTAAATGGTGGTTCTGATTCAATGTCATTTTCATCACTACACTGTTGACTAATCCTCACAAAAAGATAGCAATGATAAGACAAGGTAGAGTGTCGCCTACAGAAGACTTTCAGTGACCATGTAGCTGACTGAAGCTATACAAAAACATCCACTGATTACCAGGGATATACATATAGAATCACTAACAGACAGAGCCCTTACAAGAACCAAAATGAATGGGGCAATGCTCGGGGACAGTTTATTCACTAAACTTTGATATCACATGTCCATTTAATCATTAGACATGCCACAGAAGATTATTGTTCAGTGATGTACTATGAACAAAGAAGTCTTCCCATAGTGCAGATATTTCTGCATTTGGTTTCAACAGAAAACATATTAATAGAAAGCGAGTGCAACATATATTCCTCATTATTTCTGCTTGCCCGTCAGGCTACTTATACCCCAGTTCAACTTGACCTACGTAGATGCAGCAAACATCAGCTTGCATCAGGCAAACAGGATAGCAGCTGTATTGTACATCAGCCATGGGAACTAGTCATTTGACAAAAATAGTGTATGGCTTAAAAGTGACTTCACAGCTCTTACATTATACACTGCTGTCCTGTTAGATCTGGTGACACAAACTAGTAAGAATACCTACCACCTGTTGGGAATCAGGTCTGAACAGTGTGCCCCCAAGAAACGGACACCTAAGGCAGCAAAAGTTTTGCACTTATGTCTCTACTCCTTATGATTATGCATATATATTTAATAATTTCTACTTGTCCTATGAATATAACATCAATGGCTCTAAGACAAGCACTTGTTTCTACTGCTATTTAATACTGTTATCAAACTATTGTATTTACATTAGACAATTGAGAGATGTGACAGTGATGGGCACGACTCCTTGCATGATAAGAAAGAAAAGATAACGGCAGTGATTCTGAAACACCTGTGTAAGTGGCCTCAATTAAGCTGACAGATCAATATGACAATCTCATGTTGGTAGGTCAGTAAAAGATAGTTGCTGTTGATAGTTATACATCATCTCCATTGTACATCTCACACTTAGGCCATATGTGAAATAAAATCTATTCTTGAAGTAAACACAACTAGATCAAAAGTGTAATGACATGATATACATGACACCCTACACTTAATTTGAGTTGAATTTGGTCAACTGGAACTAAGGGATTTTGTTCATTGATACACACATGAAAGATTTAGCTCTTTTTCTTTACCTCATTAATTTTCAAATGTCTATTGTTTCCAAGAAAATAATTCTATGGTCACATTTCACAACATTCACACAAAATCTTCAAAATATATGTAACAAAGATAGATCCAAAACAGCATAAATCCCAGCCAAGAAAAATACACAACAGGAAAAAGTGTATTATTGAATTTCCCAATTACCTACACCGAAGTCGTTACCCTAGACTAATGATTGGGAACAGTCATCTTAAAGGAGAACATGGCAGCACAAAACATTAAAAAGAATTATTGAACAAACACCATAAATAATAGTTTTCAGCAAATTTAATGACTGGTATGGTGCCAGAAAGACTTGCATACATTCCTCCTCAAGCTTCTCAACCTTTGATCCTCCTGATGCATTACTGCATAATTGTCATCAGGCTGTTCCCAATGGCCCAAAGGCAAAATAGGAGTGTCAAGGTGGAAGAAATGCCCTCTGGTTGAAGCTACGATATTAAGTCCAATAAACATTGTTATATACCTACATGGTTTATGGGTACAGGCCTCTACACATATATCTTGGTGGTGCCATCAAAATTTGTAATGTCTCGGTTATGTCATAAAGTTTGCATTACTTTTAATAAACTTCACATCAACTGAAGACATTTGTCATTACTGAATAAGATGAACACGAAAATCTCAAGTAGGGAGAACAATGGCTTGGAAAGACATTTTCGTTTCTTTCCTTAGAAGTTGCTACATGGCTGAAATAATGCTGATGCGAAGTAAACTTTAACTCACTCACTTTCCTTGTGCATATTGGTATTTTACTCTGGTGTGTGAGTCTGCTGACCTTATGTTTTTTAGGACATATTTTTTTTCTTAGTTTTAATTCAATCTCAAATTTTTAAAGAATAAACCCTGATGACATGAGAAGAACAATGAAAAATCGAAGAGAAAATTAGCATTTCTATAAAGTAAGTGAGAGAGTTGGGTTTAACATCTCTTTAAGAATGGCAACGATAAATATTAATAAATCTAAAAATGTTTGCTGCTACTAAATTATATTTGTCAATTATTCTCAGTAGATTTTAGTTTTTCAGTTTATACTCATTTATGCTGATCTTACAAGACCTGGGATACTCCATGGTGGCTAAAGCTGAATGTTTGTCATTCATACTAATCATTAAAACATATGTCTAATAGATTCAAAGTAAGTCTATAATAGTCCAGATTACAAAATTTTCACGAAAAATGATGAGTCCCTGGGTTCTTTTTTTGTTTCATAGGGATAATTTAACAACTTACAAATGATGGGTATTTCACAAGCTATGATAATTTGAGGTACCAATTCAATTCAAGATGTCAAAATAACATTTAGTGAAAATCATTTTATTTCCTGAAAAAAAGAATTTTGGTCAAGTATTTCAATTGTATCAAATTGTTTGAAACTTAACATTAGCCTGCTGGTGCTAGTTAAACAATACAGAGGGGTGTACAAACTGTTATTGAAGGCCTTTTTGAAGGCCATTTTACATTTGTCTGGGCAAGAAAAGCTTTGAGTTTAGTACTAACAGGGCACAGACATGTCCTGGCCGACCAAGGATCCCTCCTGAAATCCACAGATTGGAACACAGCCTAGCTCAATGAGTTGATGCAATTTACATGATTGGGAGAAGGACACCCAACCCCCTTATTTGATGGGAAATCATAGTATATTAGTATCTGTTTTACATGTAGATAAACTCTGATCTTGGGGAACCTTTCACTTATTACTGATCAGTCAGAATAATCGGTTATGACAAATGAGCTGAACAGGTCAATCTTGGCGACTTGTTGCAAGAATG